CCCCCTCCTCCCCCCACGTTAATTATCTTGCCGCTTGTGCGTTCTTCAACTAGTTTATAGGCAAGCGGGATGACCTTATGACATATATTGTTTTTAGAATTTTCAATCACTATTTTCCATTTTCTGCTTTTTTACTAAAAAAAAAAATGAAGAAAAAGACAAGGGTTTTGAGAGCGAAAATGTGTTTTGACATTTAGACAGACATCAAGAGCTGCGTTGTGATAATGACAAGAGAAGAGCAAAAGAGATACATCAAGGTGCCAAAGGTAGTGGTACTTTAGTATAAAAAGGTGAAAACTCCCAAGTAATCCGATTCGTAACAAGCAGAAATAAAAGAGACCGTATATAAAACCCAGACTCCCATGTAGAAGCAGAAATAAGTTCAATAGAGGAAAAAAGAGTAAAACAGAAATAAAAGGAAAAGGGAAAAAGCCGTGAGGCTGTCAGTTCTTGCCTAGCCGTGAGGCTCCATTTTATCCATCTTTCGGTTTGCTTGCTTCGAAAAAAAAAATTAAATAAATAATAATTCGCCCGTCGAATAAGTTGATCATGAGTAGAAAAAGAGAAGGAGGAAAATAAAGAGGCGAATGTGAATATGGAAGGGAAAAAAAACAAGGAGTAGAAGAAAAGTGGGTGGTGGTAGGAGGAGGTGAAGAAAAGAGAAGAAATAAAACAGAGGAAGAATATACCACACATTGGCTCCTAATCTCCTCTCGGGGCTTTCGTATGTCCAAACACAGGAAACAACCCGTGTCTCTTCCTTGGGTGTGGTGCGTTATTCTGGGCGTGCGTCTTTATCCCCACAAGGGTCGCTGTCGGCTTCGTTTCGAGCTGTACCCGTCCCGATAAGGAAAGATGAAGCCGCTGGAAACGCCAGGATGGACCAGAGAGGCCTTATATCATTGGGTCATGATGATGGAAGTATATAACCCCCAGAATGGCGGCGGTAGTGGTTCAGTGGTGACGCGAAGAGGAGGAGTGATGATGTCGGTGGCCATGGCGGTGTTGTGAGTGTCTTTGACGATGTGACGATCCGCTGCTTTCTAGTTCCCTCTCGAGGCCTTCGACGCGGGATCGGTACTGCTTGACAATCTCCTTTATGTGGGCGATGCGGTCGAAATCGACCTCGAGCTCGTCGAGCTGCCGCAATAGGGCCGTGTACCGGCCAATCTCCTCGTCGGCGCCGGCGATTATGTTCCCGGCGCGGTCGTACTGGACCTGGGTAAACATTTGTGCTTGCTCGCTGAGGTACTGGATGTTGTGCTCGATATTTGCCATTAGGCGATCAAAGTAACGGCCGAGGGCTGCGAGGGAGGAGCTGTCGAGGAGAAGGTGGCCCTGGCTGCTGGCTCGACTGGCGGCACGGGAACTACTCGAGCCGCCCCCGTCCAGAGCTGCCTGTCCCTGACGCAGAAGCTGGATCTCCTCTGTCGAGAGCCCTAGCTGCGTGTCCGGGACGGCGTTGGCCGTCATGGCGGGGGGAGGGGTAGGCGCCGGGGCAGCAGCGGCCGTTTATATGTCGCAGCGCACACAGACAGTGAAGCAGACGGCGCGGTGGTAGGTGATGGCAGAAGGTCGTAATCGGGAAGAAGCGCGGCCGTTCTTGTTCCGGTAATCTTCTAATTCGTCCTAGAGGATGCAGCGATGCAGACCGTTGTGGTGGGCTCGAGAAGCTGGAAATGGGCTGACCCTGTCCAGAACTAGGTTGCGAGATGAGGCTTGTGGTTGGTGCCCAATGACGACGGCGGCGGCGGACATGAGGCGATGAGCGACAACGGCAGTCGGACAAGCGGGCGCGGCGGCGGGCATGACGCGGAATACACGTAGAGCCGCGATGAAGCAAGATAAGTGAAAGATATGAGGGCTATGCGACCCGGGAAATTGAAAGAATGAGCGAAATGGCGAGTTGGAAGGAGGAAGGACACCATCATTTTGCGCGCGCTTCCCGAGGCCAGTGATGGTGGTGTGTCTGGGGTATGTGACATGTGCTGTGATTGGAGAATGGCGACAGGGGCACGCATGTAAAACCAGGTGATGTTACCCATAGACGGTCATTTCCAGAAAAAACATGAGTGAAAAGGAAATGTAATATTACGTCGTACACCGTAGCAGGGAAAAGCAGGGAGTGCTGAGAAGAGGAAAAAGAAAAAGTGAACAAGAAGAAGCAAATCGTGATGAGAAAAATGGAAAAAATTGGAAACAGGGAGAATCATAAGCAGTTAGGGAAAGAGCGAAGCAAAAACATGTGAAGCAAGGGCAAGGCAAGCGCGTCCGCCCTGCACCTTCCTGCCAAATAACGAACATTTCCACAACCAAAAATGCCATCGATATGGTCGTATATCCGTCCTCTCTCTACGGATTGATCTTGTCGCCATCACCAAGCCAGTTCCCATTTGCATAGCAAGCTCCGTCCTCATCAAGGCTGATGGGCCAGATTTTCATGGCTTTGCGTCTCGATCTGTCACGTCGACTTCCTCCCCCCCGAGCCTCCTGAGCGGCTCACGAAGAATGTCTCAAATTACTGAGACACACGCTGAAACTGTGAGATGAGTGTAATTGCATGATCGTCGGATATCACCAAAACTATTCCAGAAGACGTGTCGAAATAATTAAACTCAGCTAAACCATAATTCAAGGGTCCAGTTTACGCGTCAATGACTCTCCTCCAGTACATCCTCAATAGGAGGCATCACGTCATCCCATCCCTCCGGCGTCATTCTCGACACGAGCGCAGAACAAAAATACGGGTCGATGCTGCCAAGAACACACACACTCGCAAGCATTTCTCCCTCCTCGCTGACGCAGGTCAAATGCGAACTGATGGGGCCGAGTCGCTACAGGGAAGAGAGAGGAAGGAATCGGCCAAGCCGAGCGCCCTCTACCCCGCTCGGCATCCTGCCATACAATGAACACATGCCCCGGAAAAGGCGACGATATATTATCCACGATGGAGGCCAAAAGAAGCAGGTGGTGGTGGCGTCCCCCGCACGTGAAGCCAGGGGCATTCATCGACACCTGCACCGTCCAGTCGCCACTGAGGTATTAAAATATGACCCTCCTCGTCTAATAGCCGCGCGAACCAGGCAGGTGAACCAGGCAGGTGAACCAGGCCAGGATACAACCACGCAGGTTACATCTGCTCTCTATTGAGCTAATATGGCGACTTAGCTTGGGAGGGGGACCAGACGGTAGTCTCTAGTTCCCTGTGTGAGACCCGAGACCCTCCCTCTGTCGAGCATTCTTCCGCCTGGTCCACAGAGGGGCAGTGTCGTAGCGATCGCGACTAACAAATAACAGGAAAAAGAAAGGAGAAGAGAATGATTCGAAACGTATATAAGATACGGAGGGGACCATTTCGTAGTGCCGGGAGCAGAGTTGGAGGCCTGACACCACCGACAGAGAAGGTTTGAAATCTAGCCATAATGCTCCCAGTCTCTCTCGTCGCATCCTGCCTGCTGCCTGCTGCCTCAGCGGCAGCAGCATCGTTCTCCTCGAGCTCAGAGAAGTCCCCAGCCTTCTTCTTGGCAGGCGACTCGACGACAGCTTCCAACGGCGGATGGGGCGATGCCTTCCTCGCGTCTCTTACCCACGAGTCTTGGGGGCTCAACTTTGCTGCCTCGGGCGCATCAACGGTCTCATTCAAAGCCGATGGCTTCTGGACAGACCTCACATCTCATGTCAGGGATAACGCAGACTACTTTGACATTCTTGTCACCATTCAGGTGGGCCGCGCCGGTGCCCTCCCAACACAGGGACTAGAATGAGTGAGGCTAACACCAAACAACCAACCAGTTTGGCCACAATGACCAGAAGGAGGCTCTTCACATCTCGCCCGAGGAGTTCGAGGCCAACCTAGAGTCAATGGCGTCTGAGATCCGAAGCCTCGGTGCCTGGCCTGTAAGTGTTGAACGCTCGCGTACGTGTGAGAGAGAGGAAGAAGAGGCGCCTATCTGACACGGCCCCCTCTAGATCGTCATATCGCCCCTCACCAGGAGAGTCTTTGATACTCACGGGTCGGTGGTCCCGTCACTCGAGACTGAGCGCCAGCTGTCCGAACTGGCCGCCTCCAACACGCAGAGCATATTCCTCGACCTCAACCAAGCCAGCGCCAACTATGTCCACTCCATCGGCGAGAAGGCCAGCCATGAGTACAACCTGGCCGCCAACGACACGACACATCTGAACGAGCACGGGGCCGTCGTCTTTGGCCGCATGGTGGCCGACCTGCTCCTGGAACAGGCGCCCGGCCTGAGAGAGTACATCATTCCAAATGAGCAGATGAGTGAAAGGATATGGAATGGCCTACCAGCCTAGATTGGGGGGGGGGGGGCGAAAAAAAAAACAAAAAAATACTCGATCTTTGTTGAGAGATTCACTGGTCTAAAATGGTACATACGTCACTACAGAGTGTATATTCACGCATTGCATGTGTTGCCTGCGTGGTCCATGTTTGGCGGACAGGTACAGACGGGAAGTCTGGGCTGGCTGTCAGTCCTGCCCCTGACAGCTGTCAGCAAACCGTGCGGACACTCAGATTTCGGCTCACTTTTTTATTACTATTTCTATCTTGAAATATCTGCTCTCATTATCCCTAGCTCATGGCCGCCCTCTTAATGCATGAATTCGTCTTTTTCTTATTTCCATCTCGTTCCATCTCTGCCCCTCCCACTCAACCCCTCACTCTTTGCTGTCGACAACAACAACAACAACAACAAGGTATAGCCACTCTGTCTGCGGTGTCGATCCATCAGCATGGGCAGAAACCGAAGTGGCAGAGATGGTCTGTTCCCTTTGTACTTCCAACCCTCTCAAAATCTGCACCATGATCTGTATCATTGCTGACTCTTCACAAAGCCAGCAGGTCTGGAGGCGTGGCCGGCGACAAGAGCTTCTCTGCTCCCGCCAAGGCCAGGAGAACGCCCGACAGCCACCGCAGACTTCAAGGCATGGCTCTCTCCCCACTCTCCCATCTCCGAGGATATCCGTCTTCTTGTTGATATGAATACGAATCTCCTGACAGGGGAATAGGACCGCTTCTCGCATCCCCCTCTGCCAGAAAGTTCACCGATCGCCTCCCACCGACCAGGCACGCCAGCGTGCCTCCATCTAGGGAGCGCAGCAGCAAGGTCAACGACGAGAACGACAAGAACAGCAACGAGAACAATGGTTGGCTGATGAAGGGCATCAACCCCCCAGTCAACACGGTCCCGCCGAAGGACAGCAATCCCATGAAGAGGAAGGACAGGAGCAACCACGGCAGCACCAGAAGACCACCGCCGTCGTCCAGGTCCGGAGCAGAGAGATACGCCTCGACCTCGACCTCGTCTCCTTCCAACGTTGGTGGTGGTGCCATGGTACCGGGCCGGGCTCGTGAGACGGCCATCACGATACCCTCGGACGAGAGCTCGTCATCGTCGTCATCGTCGTCCTCGTCCTCGTCCTCCTCGGGCGACGACAGCGAGGACGACGGCTCATCCGCCGTTTGGAAGCCGGTGCTCGGCAAGCTGAGCAACGCTGGCAAGTCCGCCGTCAAGGATCTGGCTAAGTCTCCGGTCAGTAAGGCGGTGGCGGCGACGACGCCCGGATGCACCCCGATCAAGGAGGAGAAGAGGACGCCTGGTGGCGTCGGGGAGGTCTCCTGTGCCAAGGTCAAGTCTTCTGACGATGATGAGTCTCTTGATGATGACGTTCGACTTGTTGTTGATGAGCCGTCTGGGGAGAAGGTGCAATTTGTGAGCATTTTCTCTCTTCCTTTCTTTTTTCTTTTGTCTCTTTTTTGTTTTCTGGGAGAGAGAGAGAGAGAGAGAGAAATGCGTGTTTGACGACAGCTTACAGATGAGTATAGCGTCCCATAGCGAGATGCCGGCCTCGGGCTATGCCTTGCTTCAACTGCGTCCGGGCCGAGATGATGGGTGATGATGCCATGAGTCACTGCGATGGTCAGTCGCGTTGTTTACCGTGCAGGCAGAGCAATTGCGCATGCGAGCCGCTGTAAGTTTTAGTCTTAGATTTTTCTTCTTCTTTTCTTTTCTCTTCTTCTCTTCACTTTCCTGTTCCTTTGGGTGATTCGACGTCTTTTGATGAACTGGACTCGTTGCTCACTCGTGTATATATACAATATAGCCCCAACGATCTCAAGCCGGGTGTCGATCTACTCTGTGAGGCCATGGCCTCGTCCGACAAGGAACTGGTATGGATCATAGACTCCCTCTCCTTCCTCTTGAAAGGTCTACGGTATCTCTCCTAGAAGGATGCAGGCTTACCTGTACACGACGATAAGGCCGTCTCGAGAATCCGGTGGTTCGTTGACTATCAGATAAAGAATATGCGCTCTGGCGAACCTATCATGGCGGGAAACACCAAGGGGATGACGGCTGTCGAGACCAAGGAGCAGTTTCTGTCTGCGTGGAAGGCTGTTGGGGAATACATCAGCAAGCACAGCTGATCATCTTTACTGTCTTGTCTTTTTTCTTTCTTTCTTTTTTTTATATAAATTTCTTGTTCTTGTCAATGTCGCAAAGCAAGCTCTTCACTTTTTGTCTTTGACCAAGAAAGATGGATGATTATCGCTGGAATACTAGACAGGTTTTTTTTTTCTCCATCCCGACAATTTTTTTTTTTATAAAAAAAAAACCTAATCTCTTCTTTTCTTCTTTTCTAAATAGAAGGAAAAGTTCCTCGCTCTTCAATATTATCTGTACTCGGCACCATGCTCCTATGTTCTTGCCAGGAACGACCCTTTTTCTGTCCTGTACAGTTACCATTAAAACAAGCCTAGAATTTGGTGTGCTGCTGAGCTCACGTCCTCCTCCTCCTCCTCCTCCTCATGGTTGTGTGGAGTCCCTATGAAGCACCCGTTTCAAGAATCGTGACCATGGCTACATGCGGGAGATAACCATGATGCTGACTGGTATAGTACGACTCTGTACCTGTCACGGCAGGTATCGATCGTAACTCCGGGCAAAGAAAGGAACAGAGAAGGAAGAGGAGAGAGAGAAGACGAAAGAGGGAAAGAAGGAAAAAATTCATTTGGTTTTACATATACGACGAGCATCCGTAAGTCGCACTACTACGAGTACTAGATGTTATAATCCTGGTCATTGAATCTCATGGGAAGGTATTGGCGAAAAGGAAAAGAAGAAGATTTTTTTTTTTTTAAAAAAAGGCTCTACCCCCCCCCTCCCTCCCCTACTGGAAACATGGCTCGTGCGCCAGGACTGGGGAGGGATTTTTAGTCTTGGTGTTTGGTTTTAGGGATCGAATACCGGGTACAGAGGAGAAGGGGGGAGTGTGACCTGAGACAAGCTTGCGAGGGTTCTTAGCTCCCTCTCATCACGGGGAAGCGGTTTTTTTTTTTTGTTTTTTTTTCCGCATGATAATCACGGCCCATTCATATGACCAGCCATCAAGATCGCAAGAAAGTGACTCTCTTATTGATATCACTCTCACTTGGGCAAAGTAACGGGTAAGCACCCGACAACAGTATAGAGGAGCACGCGGGAAAGAAAAGGGATTCGTGACTCTGTACTCCGTGCTCATGCAAAGCAAGTACTCGTCGTATCCTCTTATACGAAGTTTTGCAAACGAGAAACAGAAAGAAACGGGAGAGAGAGAGAGATGGGGATGGGGGTCGGTTTCTTTTTTTCCCCATGGACCATCACAGCCTTGTCAACATTGATAGATACATCTGTACAGATGGCTACCCGTTACTCGTACAGATACAGATACAGGTTAGACTGTAATGGTTAGATGACTCTCCCGGAGGACGGAGACGCCTCTTCGACTGCCGGGGTAGGACGCTAGTCGTTTCAAAATCAGGATCCGCGTCGGCCTGTCAAGGGCCTGTCAAGACTCTGACGGCTCTTTCTGGACAAGGGTGCCCTCCCCGGGGTCGGGCCGGGGAGAGGGGGTCGGCCCCCCGTCTCTCGTGGTTGGGGACGGAATCGATGATTGTGCTGTCTATATCATGCATCTTCCATCCCCCGTCCCATGCAAGGAAGGGAAGTTGACATGCGTGTTGAGAGAGGTTGAGAGAGGGAGAGTGAGAGGGAGAGGGAGAGGGAGAGGGAGGGAGGGAGGGAGGAGTTTCGATGCAATCCTTGCCGGAACAAGGGATACAGATACTAACAACACACTAGTTGGTCTAGAGACTGACACTGCTTCGTCGGCACCGTCCATTGTGGAGAAGGATGGGAACGGCTCAGCGAGCCGGGATCTCGGACAAGGGGGGTCTCACAAGCTCAGCTTCAACCCTCTGTCTGTCCTCTCTGTTGGGAGGAGGTGGGTAAGATGAGTCTCCGCTCATGGGGTTGTGATGGGTAGGTATCGTAAGTATCATTGATCTGTACAGCGTACATGGTCTATTTTTTTTTTAATCCAATTTTTCTTTGAATATTTGCTGTTTTTTTTTTAAAAAAAAAAAAAATCTCTGTAAATCGCTCGACTCACGATAGTACCAGGGACTGGGAAAATCCTGGCTCTATTATGGAGTACGGAGTAACATAGGCCAAGTTGCAATAGGGCAGAGGGGGTGTCGTTATCAAGAGGATCATCAAGTCGGAATCCTTGGGGTTTGATGGAAACAGTATATATCATTATATATCATTACCACACACACCCACCCACACTCACACACACACACACGCGCGCACACATACATGCACACACATACACATACATACATGCACTCTTGTAATATATAATACGAGCAGAATTCCTACAGCATATCGGAGGTCATATCGACTTTATCGTAAGAAGAAGGAGGGGAAAAAAGAAGAAGAAGAAGACGAGTACTACGGCAGATGCCGCTGGAGCAATGACCTCTTACGGACAAGCCACATGAGATGGACCGTCGTACATGATGCATCGTACATGACGGAGTCGTGAGTGTGTGAGTGTGTATATGTATATACATGCATACATATATATATATGTGTGTGTGTGTGTGTGTGTGTGTGGTACGTCTCACTGAGACAATTTATCTTACAGCCTAGTATTATTAAGAAGTAAAATATAAAATACAATAAGAAGAGAGAGAGAGTAAAAAGTCTTAGCTTACAGTTTGCAATACGAGTAGTAGTTATAAACGTGCACATGCAGGATGCACGCATCTGCATGCATGCAGAGCAAGAGCAGGTGTGAGCGAGCTTTTTAAGCGCGAGACGCACTGATGCGAAGTGGGACAGACCTGCATCGAGAGAGAACCGAGGAGGAGAAGGGGGAGGTGGGGAAGAGTTGATCTGAACAAGAGAGAGAGAGAGAGATGGACAGACAAGTAGGCAGACCTGTGAAGCAAGGATGGAGTGGCCGCTCCCCTAGCTCCGAACAGCGGCTGTACACGTATCACGCCGTATCACTTTCAAACTACCAGTCCGTGCATCAAGAGAGATGAGAGATGAGAGATGAGAGAGAGTTCTTGGCAAGGAGATTAGAGATCGGCATCGTCTACAGAGTAGATAGATACTCGTGGCCCGTGGGAGAGAGAAGGGAACTGGGTTGAAGTGGGGAGGGTGAAACCACGAGGGAGAAGAGAGAAAGAGAAGGGGAAAAAAAAGTTGTCGATGTATGTTGGTGATGCGACTATGTATAAATGTATATATATGGATGTGTGTGTGTGTGTGTGTGTGTATATATGTATGTGAGCGAGTGAGTGAGTGTGTGCGTGTGTGCGTGTGTGCGTGTGTGTGTGTGTGTATGTATGGATATATATATGGATATATATATATATACCATGTACAGAGTATAATCTGTACGAATAGACGATGTACATTTTTATATCTGCAGGTATATACATCATGAGTATATAATATATCTGTAAGAATCGATGAGTATCATAGGCAAGAGGTAACACCTAGTCACATACACACACACACACACATGCACAATATGAGGATCATCGGCTCGCACAACAACGAATACGTACATGCAATAAGTTTCATGAGTTTCAACGTATCATGCCGGTAAGTCCGTCTTTCACTCCGACTGTACATGTACTAGACCGCAGTCGTGTGTGTGTGTGTGTGTGTGTGTGTGTGTTGGATGGGTGTGAACGGGGGATGAGGGTTATGACGAGACTTTTGAACCCAGGATTGGACGGAGAGTGAT